AGGGCTGTCATCCCTGCCAAGTCCAGATGGTGCTGTCGGACTATCAGAGTTTCCCACACAGCCCCCCCCAACCCCCAGCCTTCTGCAGTCCCCTCACCCTCCGTTTGACAGGTTTAATTCACGTCCCTGGCACCTCCTCCTTCCATTTGATTCGAAGCCAGCAAACCTAATACAGGAAGAGCCAAAAAACCCAGGTGCTAAATCAACCAAGGTCAGGCTGCTTTCCAGGTCGGCTTTCCAGCCTCCCCGTTGTCTGAGGCAGTCTTTCCTCCAGGATTTTTCTTAGCCAAATACGTACACTCTATCTTGCACATAGCATCATAGAATCTTAAAGATGGATGGGACCGTCCAGTCATTGTGCCTGAACCACAGCATGCTTGAGCTGCCGCCAGCCCTATCCCCAGCAGCTCTTTTTCCCAGCTGTAAAGCTGCTGTCTGCCAGCTTTTATCCCTTGGCACTGAGCCACGATCTCAAGAAGGCAATGCTTGTGTTGCTCACAGTGGGGGAAGCAAGAGGAAAGGAACCTATGGAAAGCCAGGCATGCGGTTAAGTGCTACACATTCCAGTGTGTGTTTATCTATCACATTTGTAGGTGACAAAATTAAAGTTTAACAAGTTGAAGTAAAGCGCCTCTGGGTCACACAAGCTTTAAGTTACCTGGATTTGAACTGAATGTGACTCAAACTAGTACCATTCTCATTAGTCCATGCTGCCTTCCGAAAGGTGTGCCCCTGATGAGTGGTGAATGTGGTTATTGTATTGCCTGGCTTGTGTAGTGGGAATAAAAGATGCATCACCTTAAGAGATGGCACTTGAATTCCCTTTGAGGAGGGAACTGTCTTTGTCCAGGAAAACACTTTTAATAAGCCACCCACGGTAAAAGGTGAAGCCGTGACTGTAAGGGTGTTGGCAGAAATCAAATTAAGAAAAGGAATGGGTATTGGTATTCATCCTGCTGTATGTGAGAATATAAATGGATCTGGATTGTCCCAAGGACAGGAGACAGCGACCATGTGGAGTGGAAGGTGAGTGGGAATTCTTCCATATTATATAAAAAGAACATTCTATGAATGGGGTGCGGAGTCTGCACTGTTGTAGCATCTGCCATTCCTTCCCATGTCACTGAGACACACACAGGCACATACACTTACTCACTTGAATTTTGCTATGTGGAAATGGGCAAGGGAACTGAGCTTCATGTCTCAGCTGATGCATTGTAGGGATAAGATGTTTAAAATGAGGTAGCAGAAGTGTGGAGTCAGCAATGGCTGCAAAAATACGTCTCTTAGAAATCACAGAAATTGGCCGGGCGCGGTAGCTCAAGCCTGTAATCCCAGCACTTTGGGAGGCCGAGGCGGGTGGATCACGAGGTCAAGAGATCAAGACCATCCCGGTCAACATAGTGAAACCCTGTCTCTACTAAAAATACAAAAAATTAGCTGGGCATGGTGGCGTGTACCTGTAATCCCAGCTACTCAGGAGGCTGAGGCAGGAGAATTGCCTGAACCCAGGAGGCGGAGGTTGCGGTGAGCCGAGATCGCGCCACTGCACTCCAGCCTGTGTAACAAGAGCGAAACTCCGTCTCAAAAAAAAAAAAAAAAAAAGAAAAAGAAAAAAAAAAAAAAGAAATCACAGAAATCTAGAGGTTCAGAATCAGAGCCCAGTTATCAGCCCTTTCTGCATCTCAAGAGGCAGGGAGTCCTCAGCTGACATTTGGGTTACAACAGGGATGAATCTGTGCCTAATGTCTGGCTGCAAGGGGTACACGCTGTGGAACAGAAAGTGGGAGGAAACTTTGGACCTTGCTGATTGAAACTGGAGCATGTGCATCAAACAGAGTTTCTCCTTGGGTGTGCCTAATGCAATAGGTTTAGGAGCTGCAAACCCCTGGGATCCAGGACATTCTGCAGGGAGGGAACATCGGCCGAACTGGAGCCAAATAAGCTTTCAGTTAGCTTGGCATGGGCTTTCTTTCTCACATCCCACCACTGAAAGTGTGGGGTAGAGTTAAATGATCTTGGCTGTTCTAAAGATGGCGCAGGCCCCGAGCCAGCTTGCATCATGGAAATATACATGCCTTTGGGGCTCTCACCTAGAAGCCATCCAAGTGCTGAACCCTTGACGGCTGGCACATCGACACTGTGTTGATCCAGAACAGAGGCACGTCAGAAGCGGAAGAGGCAGAGGGTAGGCCCAGGATGACAGCATGTGCTAGATTCCAGGGAGGGACGGAGCTACCTCCAGCAGGATGCCTAACTGGATGAGGAATCAGATCGCTGAAGTCCAGCCTTGCTATTGACTGGCAAGGGACCATGGCCTCTGGAACTAAGATTCCCTATTTATAAAATGGGGAGACTAGACTGGCCTCCAAGATGCTATTTCCATGGCCTCAAAAGCGACTTTCTTAGTGTTGCCCTGGAGCCCCAGAGAACATAAACCTCACAGTGAAATTATCAAACCAGGTTGGAATGCCAGTGCAGGGCTTGGGATAGTGCATATTGGCACAAGAACCGTACCTGGAGAAGGAAATGGAAAGGCTCAACAGAAGAAAGTTTTCACATTCAGCTCTGTGGTTTTAGGAGGGAGGGCTGCAGAGTCTAGCCAAAGACTTGGAATGGAGGCATGATTTAGTTTTAAGAAAGGATTAAAACAGCATATCCCTGAGAAGGATGGTCTTCCAGGTAACATTTTAAAGTAACAATCTGTACTGATCTTGAGTCTCAGAGGTAGAGTCAAAAATAGTCTCAGATCTACAAACATTCATTTTAGGGATAGTGACAAATATGACATTATCAGCGCCCTTCCCAATACCTCCATTCAGACTAATGGCAAACAGGCTTACTTCCAGTTGCAGAGGAAAATACTAAGCTGTAGTGCCTGGACTACTGTTGGATTTACTCTCCGACCTGACTCCTTAAACTGACCTGCTAAAGCTGTGGCTCCAGGCTATGCCTGCACATAGTATTTCAGTTCATTAGCCTCTGGGAAGGTCAACTTTTATTTGGGTGGTTCTGAAACCCCTGAGCCAGCTGTTTACATCTTCCCCAGATTTGTATTCAGTGTTCTCAAGACCAGCATTCCTCAGGATTTAAAGAAGGGAGGAAGCACATCTCTCCCACTTCTCCAGGGTGGATGGAAATCCATGCATCTCATTATCTTTATACAGAATAGCTTCAAAGACATCTACCTCTAATCAATACATATTCATGATTCTGTCATTAAAACAGCCCACAGAAAAGCCATTTTCTCCTCCTTCCTTCTAGAATTCCAAATGATCCCAATTTTTTCTTTCTTTCACAAAACTGTTCCAGACCTTTCCCTTTCCTCCTGTCCTGGTCCCCATGGTCATGGAATCTCCTTTTAGCTGGAAGCAATGAGCCTGCAATTGTGACACTAGTGGCTTATAATCCACTGACATTGTTTCTGAGATCCTAAAGACCTAAAGCACCAAATCCTCTTTCTGGCAACCCCATACCCGATCAGAAAAACAGCATGAAGACATTTTTCCCAAGTGCAGAATCAAGTATATTCTGAGTGACTGAGCTATTGGCATTCAAGTTTTTACCAGTTTCAAGATGCTACCACCAGATAATGGAAGACCATATACAGACACTGCAATCTATGTTACATAAGGAAGACTTCGTTAGTTGGTATACAAGAGTGGAGAGTTTCAGGTTATATACGATAAATCCAGAAGGCTGTTTGAATACACAAAGAGCCTTATTCCTTTCAGGTCTTAACTTTCCCCAGCTGGAAGTGAGGCCTCTGAGAAGCTGCATTCCTTTCTCAGGGCCCCTACCACTGTTTAGTGTGCTAATGCCAAGAATTCATGGCCTTTTCCTTTCTTAAGGAGTGATGGGAAACTGTTATAAAATCAGATGTGGGAGGTGTTCTACTACTATTAACTTACATGCACCGGTCTCTTACTTAATTACTTGAGCCTCAAAGAGGTAAATGAGGCATTTTCTCTATCTGAATGAAACATGGAGACACAGAGTTCCTGTGATTGCACGAGGTCAGCTGTTCAAGTGGAGAGCCAGAACCAGGCTCTGGCTCTGTACCACGTTCCTTCAGCAGGCCTGTGGCCAGCTGTGACAAGTATAGCCTGGCCACCTGGCTGAGGCTCGCAGAACCCACAGCCAATGTGGTATGGGAAATCCTGGACTGGGGCTGGTTGTGGTCCAGCTGTGATCCAGCTTTCTCCACTTCTAGACAGGGCTGGTGCCAGGCAATGAGGCCAGTGACTACAGAAGTCACTCACAGCTGGAAAATGGGCCTCCTTTGGCAAAGGAATCTGGAAGCTCTCTAGCTGCTCTGCTCAGGCTGGGGTCTTGCTAGCATCCTTTTAGATAAAGTGGGGAGAATAGATTCACACCAAACAGTGGAAACGAGGGAATGCAGCTTCCAGACGGTCATCACTTGGTTCCGAAGTTTGCACAGAAAGTGTAACCAATTCCAGTGAGAACAAACCTAAAGCTGTCCGTCTTTTAAAGCCACCCTGAGTGGTAAAGATAAGGTACATGTCATAACCTATATAAAGGTGAAGTATTATTTTTCAACTGTACAAGACACATTACTAGGGTTACAGTCAGTGGCATGCACCTTATGTTGGACTGCATTTAAACTACAACTGTGTAGTGTGACATCTCCATTACATGGCACCAAACATTTGTCAATTGTACAACTATTACTTGGTGAGACCTGGTTTTAACTACAATACTTTAAAAGCCAATTTCTATTTAAATGTGTTATGAAAAATGCAATAGCTTAACTTTATACACATTTTACATTTATGGCAGAATAAGTACAGTAATATCTGTACCCGAATGGGTAGTGTTGCCTTTGAAGTAGTCACCTTGGGAAGATGTATGTTTATTACAGTGAAGCTGACCTTACATAGAACATTTCTAGAACCCGCTTTAGAACTGTCAACTTGTAAGGGTCTTCAGTGTTGGTAAATCTTTGTCCTTTAAGGGTAGATCTATTTCTTGAGGAATTATTTAACAGCTAAGGAGCATTAGAAAATAAGTCTTCCAAATAAAATGGATGATGAAGCTCAGGATTACCTTGGTGGGCAGGAGGAAGGGTTGGATAAAATGCAAGGTCTGACTATAAAGCTGTGAGGCCTCTTGACTTGCATGGCTTCAAAGGTAATCCCAAAGAAGAACCCTAAGTGTTCTTGGCGCATGCAACATCAAGGAAGTAACTCCAATTATGCTAACTCTTGAGTGCATATGTTCTAGTGTATTTGGTTAAAAAGGTAGCTTTGCTCGCATTCAGTTATACTTCATATAAGCAGAAATGGAAAACTCCCATCTCTGTGATTTCTCCCATGGGAAAGATCTCATCTACTGCTTAATTAAAATGAAAAGCACTTGGTGTCATGTCTACATTAGCCCCCTCAAAATGTGCAATGAGTAATTCCTGATACCTGAGTCTTCCCAGTTTGGAAAAGTGGGCAAGGACAGGTGTCTGGATCCTAGATAAAAGTAGAATTTCAAGGGGACTGGAGTGTTTCCAATGGCTCCCATCTGCTCATATACCCACTCATACAAGGAAACCTCCTACAGCTAAGCAGTACAGAAAGTTTCAGGAGAGGAGGGGAAGAAAGATGATCTCCAAGTTGCTTTCTATGGTTAAAACCCACTGGCTTCTGGATGACAAGTGAACAGAGTCCATTGAAAAAGAAAGTCCATGGTGTTAGATTCTAGTGCACGCTTAAGAAATAAAGTGTGTGGCCACTAGCTCTTTGAAGTGCATTTCCAGCTGAGGCCAAAGGCAGCAAAGGTGCAAGAAGCTGCTGGGGCTGACATTAGTTGAAGCAGGGTCTGTAAATTCAGAGTGGCAAAGCAATTTGTAGAAAGGCCCAGTTAAAAGCAGGACATTTGCCAACCTGTGAAGTCAAAGAATGTTCAATCTCACTTTCTACAAAGTGCTTCACTGAAAATGCTAATGAGGAAGCTCCCTAAAACACCATATCCTGAGTGTCAGAGAAACAGAGTCAAGATGGTGATTGATGGGGAGCAGATATCGATCCTCTAATAGTGTTTGAACTGTGTATTTTCCAAGCATCACACACACACTTAGTGAAGAATGTATTACTGCAGTCACATTCCACCAGGTCTGCACATGCTTCAATCCCGTGGTTGCTTTTGAGTACATATTTCCAAGAGCCATTTGGAGTTAATGGATTCTACTGCTAAAAGTCAGAAGCAGCAGCAGCAGTCAGTGCCTTAAAGTCAGCTGTAATAGCCACGTGCTCACGGCAGACATGTCTCCTATTGATCAGTCGGGACGTTGTTCTTGGTGACTGTTTTTATATTTGTCTTTGTAAAAACCACAAAGCTAGGCCATTTGCTTTAATCATCATTAGAAAAAATGCTGAGTGCCCAGATGGGATTTCTAGTTTCTGTGCAAATGAAATCACATGAGTCCAGATTTTATTCACTCAAAACTACTAAGGAAGCAGTAGGATTTGGTTTAAATGCTGCCAAAAAGCAGGAATTCACTTAAGTTTTAATTCAGAAGCAATCCTGTTGTTAATGTTGTAGCCAGGTTCGGGCAGCAAGGAGGGTGGCGCCCCCAGTGTGCTTGCTGAGGAATCCCGGATCTCTCCCAGTTCAGGCTCACTTTCGCTAGAGGTAGACCCACTGTTGATGGTATAGACACTCTCTGCAACTCCCTGAGCTGAAGCACAGCCGTCTGGCTCGTTCTTCTCCCTCGGACTCGACAGTCCTGGGAGGACAGCCATCTTCCCAGTCTGCCTAGTTGGCAGCAAGGACATGGTATAGTCTGCAATGATCCCACCCACATCTAAGTTGCACGCCTGGTCAAAGGCGAGGAAGCCGACATTAGCGTTTGCCTCACACACCACAAAGGAGCCATCGTCCATGATAAGCAGATCAATGCCACAGAAGTCCATGCCTAGGATGTTGGACACCTGAATGGCCAACTGCTTGCCTTGTTCTGTCAGCGGGCACATGACGCCTACGCCACCTGTGGGGAAAGCACAGGGGTGTAAAGGTGACAACTGAGAAGTCAAATGACTCTTCAAAGAAGGGACAGGGGTCTGCCCAGGAAGGCCAGACAGACAGGCTCGAGCATTAATTGCAAAAGGTCTGGACGGAAATCAGTACCCACTTTGGGAAAACAATAGTCTTTTTTTTGAGACGGAGTGTCGCTTTGTCCCCTAGGCTGGAGTGCAGTGGCGCGGTCTCGGCTCACTGTGATCTCCACCTTCTGGGTTCAAGAAATTCTCCTGCCTCAGTCTCCCGAATAGCTGGGACAACAGGCGCCCGCCACCGCGCCTGGCTAATTTTTTTGTATTTTTAGTAGAGATGGGTTTCACCATATTGGTTAGGGTGGTCTCGAACTCACCTCAGGCAATCCATCCACCTCAGCCTCCCAAAGTGCTGGGATTACAGGCTTGAGCCACCATGCCTGGCCTATGGTCATTTTTTATCTAGTCTTAAAAATGTCGATTTCCTCTGACCCAGCCATCCCCCTATCAAGGGAGAATAATCTTATGTATGGGGGGGAAAAAGCTTTATGCACGAAGATGTTGATGGCAGTATTATTATTATTATTACTTATTATTTTTTTTTTTTTTGAGACGGAGTTTCGCTCTTGTTACCCAGGCTGGAGTGCAATGGCACGATCTCGGCTCACCGCAACCTCCGCCTCCTGGGTTCAGGCAATTCTCCTGACTCAGCCTCCTGAGTAGCTGCGATTACAGGCACGCACCACCATGCCCAGCTAATTTTTTTTTGTATTTTTAGTAGAGACGGGGTTTCACCATGTTGACCAGGATGGACTCGATCTCTTGACCTTGTGATCCACCCGCCTCGGCCTCCCAAAGTACTGGGATTACAGGCTTGAGCTACAGCGCCCGGCCAGATGGCAGTATTATTTTAAATACAAATCATAGAGCCAGGTACATGACGGGCACTCAATAAATATTCAACAAATATTGAATGAAGAAATACAATAGAGAAAAACAGTGTATTTTACATCCATATGTAAAATATGGAGAGGACTGCTTGAGGCCAAGAGTTTGGGCTAGCCTGGGCATCATAGCGAGACCCCATCTCTACAAAAAAATAAAAATAAAAATAGGGGGTATCGTGGTTTGCTGTAGGGTTCCTCCCACCCCTAAGCCTCCTAAGCAGCTGCAGTCCCAGCTACAGTCCGAGCTACTTGGGAGGTTCGGGTGAGAGGAACCCTAGAGCCCAGGAGTTTGAGGCTACAGTGAGCCATGATCATGCCACTGCACACCAGCCTGTTTCACAGAGTGAAACTCTTTCAAAAATAAAAATAAATAATAGTGCCCACAGAGAGCCTGTAATCACATGGGAAAACAGGGGATTTAAGACTCTACAATATGACTGGACGCAGTGGCTCACGCCTGTAATCCCAGCACTTTGGGAGGCTGAGGTGGGCAGATCACCTGAGGTCGGGAGTTCTACACCAAACTGATCAACGTGGAGAAACCCCGTCTCTACTAAAAATACAAAATTAAGCAGGTATAGTGACGAATGCCTGTAATCCCAGCTACTCCGGAGGCTGAGGCAGGAGAATCACTTGAATCCGAGAGGCAGAGGTTGCAGTGAGCCAAGATCACACCATTGCACTTCAGCCTGGACAACAAGAGCAAAACTCCGTCTAAAAAAAAAAAAAAAAGACTATACAATATGACCATAACTAGGCAAAAAGAGATTTCTCAGAAGAAAAGACTGTAAGTTACACCAAAATATTAAATTGTTTTCTCTAAATGGTGGAGATGATAAATACCTTTTTCCTTTGACTTTGCTGTGTTTTCCAAAAAAAATTTTTTTTGGACAGTCTTGCTCTGCTTGACCTGTCACTCAAGGCTGGAGTGCAGTGGCACGATCTCGACTCACTGCAACCTCCACATCCTGGGTTCAAGCAATTCTCCTCCTGCCTCAGCCTCCTGAGTAGCTGGGATTACAGGCGCCCACCACGCCGCCTGGCTAATTGTTGTATTTTTAGTACAGACAGAGTTTCACCATGTTGGGCAGGCTAATTTCAAACTCCTGACCTCAGGTGATCCACCCACCTTGGCTTCCCAAAGTGCTTGGATTTCAAGTGTGAACCACTGCGCCCGGGCATATTTTCCAAATTTTCTATACTGAGAATGTATTCCTCTTAAGAATAGAACAAATAAAATTAACTTACTGATTTTTAAGGAGAGAGAGACGGCTCTTTCTGCCATCTTGTGTGCTACCATAATGGTGCATGTCAATGCCCTGGCTGATACTCTCGAGAGCATCACCAATGCCAAAAAGAGAGACAAACACCAGGTTCTTATTAGGCCATGCTCCAAAGTCATCATCTGGTTTATAACTGTGATGACAAAGCATAGTTATGCCGGCAAATCTGAAATCACTGATGATCACAGAGCTGGCAAAACTATTGTGAACCTCGTAGGCAGGTTAAACAAGGGTGGAGTGAACAAACCCTATCTGATGTGCAACTTGAAGATCTAGAAAAATGGCAGAATAATCTGCTCCCATCCCATCTGTTTGGTTTCACTGTACTGACAACCTCAGCTGGCATCACGGCCATGGTGGCCTGTGAAGAAGATGAAAACACACAGGTGGGAAAATCCTGGGATTCTTTTACTAGGGATGTAATACATATTAATATTTATAAGTAAAATGCCTTAATGGACCAAAAAAAAAAGAAGAGAGAGAGACAGAGATGGAAAGGACTGAGACAAAATTCTGCAGGAAGGACAGAGAGACCGATTGCCCTGACTTTGCTAAAAAGCTAGGACTTCAGATTTAACTGTCTCCAGTTAGCCTCCTTGGAAAGATTTAAGAATTGTATTCTCAGGTCCAATAACTAGTGCTTTACCTTAATACTCTTCCTTCCCATGATACTGTATCTAAAAAAGGCTATAAACCAGTTTTAAAATGGCTCACCAAGAAAAGTAACATGGATAAATTATAAAACCACGATTACTAATGAATGGATTTTGTAAGGTAACTAAAAAAGTAAAAATAGGCCGGGCGCGGTGGCTCAAGCCTGTAATCCCAGCACTTTGGGAGGCCGAGTGGGATCACGAGGTCGAGAGATCGAGACCATCCTGGTCAACAAAGTGAAACCCCGTCTCTACTAAAAATACAAAAAATTAGCTGGGCATGGTGGTGCGTGCCTATAATCCCAGCTACTCAGGAGGCTGAGGCAGGAGAATTGCCTGAACCCAGGAGGCGGAGGTTGCAGTGAGCCGAGATCGCGCCATTGCACTCCAGCCTGGGTAACAAGAGCGAAACCCCATCTCAAAAAAAAAAAAAAAAAAAAGTAAAAATAACACACACGGTTCAATACTGTGGCACTAAACATGATTATCATTAAAATGGGCTGGGCATGGTGGCTCACATCTATAATCCCAGCACTTTGGGAGGCCGAGTGGGGTGGATCTCTTGAGGCTAGCCTGGCCCACATGATGAAACCCTGCCTCTACTAAAAGTACAAAAATCAGCCAGGTGTGGTGGTACATGCCTATAATCCCAGTTACTCAGGTGGCTGAGACATCAGAATCACTTGAACCGGGGAGGTGGAGGTTACAGTGAGCCGGGATCATGCCACTGCATTCTAGCCTGGGCAGCAGAGCAAGACTCTTGTCTCAAAAATGAAAAAAAAAGAAAAAGAAAAAAGAAAATGAGATAACATGTAAGACAATTAGTAGTGTGTCAACTTGAATCTGTCAACTTGAATCTAGCATTTGACTCCATCACACCACTTTATCACAGTATCTTACAATTATCTCTCTCCTTTTTTTTTTTTTTTTAAACAGATAGGGTCTCACTCTGTTGCCCAAACTGGAGTGCTATGGTGCAATCATAGCTCACTGCAGCCTCAAACTCCTAGGCTCAAAGGATCCTCTCACCTCAGCTTCCTGGTACTACAGGCAGTGCTAGTATACTTGGCTAACTTTTAAAAAATTTTTCTGTAGAGACAGGGGTCTCGCTTTGTTGTCCAGGCTGGTCTCAAACTCCTGGCTTTAAGTGATCTTCCTGCCTTGGCTTTCCAAAATGCTGAGATTACAGGCATAAGCCACCACACGTGGCCCATGTGTCTTCTTTATGAGATCACATGCTACCTGAGGGCAAGGGCTCTCTCATAATCTCTACACTCTCGACATCTATCACAGAGTCTGTTCCTGGAAATGCCCAATAACTCTCAATTAAAGAAGTGCCAGATAGCATCTAAGCCTCTTTATCAGTCACTGGACTTGGAATATTCTTCTGGTGATTTAGGAAATCTAGCAATTTAGGAAATCAAACTAGTGGCTGTGATTTTTTTTCCTATTACCAACATACAAACTAATTCAATGAGGCTGACAATAATTTTCTGTGATGGGACAAGAATTTATATCCCTCTTGGAATATCTCCATTCAGCACAACAGAAAACAAACACTATCAACAGGTTAATGGGATGTGTTTATGCATGCAACCAAAGCATAAACTGTAGCTTTCTAATAGCATCATATAAAAAAGGAAAACATTTTCCATTAAAATAGGAAACTATGATATTTTTCCTGTCATTACTTTAGTTTTGACTCATTATTTTTTGCCTGAGTTGTTGCAACAGCTTCAAAACTCACCTCCCTACCTCCCATCTTAGCCTTTGCTCCATCCTTTACACAAATGGGAGTTTTTCTCCAGCGTCGGTCTTCATGTCACTCTCTGTTTTAAGTCTTAACACCTAGAGGAGAGGGTTCAGTCCTCCATGTCCTGACACTCTTTGCCTGACCTCTGCCGCAGCTCTTACACTCATATGCTCCCCTCCTGGACTGCTTGCTGCCACAGGAAAGGGTTTGTTCCTCATTCTCATCTATGAGATCCTGGTGTCTAGCAGAGGGTCCGACAAGACAATAGGGATCGATATATATTTGCTGAATGGGTCGAAAAACCCTAATAACACCCTGCGCTTTTATACCTTACCGAGAGAGCAGTTGCTCTGCATCCGTCCATCAGTGGAACAGCGAAGCATAGAGCCTATGACTTGGCCCCCTACCACCACCACCCGGATGTCCTTTCCATGGGACTCCTTCACGTACTTCTGGAACAGGTAGGGCACATCATGGCGGATCAGATGGCAGATGTCAGAGAGGTGATGTTTATCTCTTGCCAGAAAAACAGCTTTTCCTTTAATAAGAAAGACAAAGAGCAAGACGAGGGTTAGAGAAGCCCCTGGACGCTGTTCTTGCCATTTGGCCTCCTTGTCCATAGAGCCATCAGTTCTCTCTGAACTTGCCTCACTTTGATCCCTTCTATTTCTCTGCTAGACTTTTGCTGGTGCTTTATTTTTTTGAGACGGAGTCTCACTGCAACCTCTGCCTCCTGGGTTCAAGTGATTCTCCTGCCTCAGCCTTCTGAGTAGCTGGGATTACAGGCACCCACCACCATGCCCAGGTAAGTTTTATATTTTTCAGAGACAGGGTTTCACTACATTGGCCAGATGGTCTCAATCTCCTGATCTTGTGATCCACCTGTCTCAGCCTCCCAAAGTGCTGGAATTATACGCATGAACCACCGCACCCAGCCTGGCTTTTGCTTCTTATCAAATAACCAATGAACCTTACTTTCCCTTAACTTTCCTCAGGTCCTAATACCCTTTCCCTTCACCATCACTCTTTTTGAAATGACATAATGACATATTCCAGAAACACAAAGAAAGAGCCACAATAGAATCCCAAGGATCTAATCAATTCAGTTCCCAAAACAGTTAATTAGCATCTCCCATCACCCCCCAGGATGCCGATTATGCAGGGTCCACATCTAATTCATTGTTAAAAAAATCCCCACACCTAACACTGGGCTATATGCACAGGGAAGATGTCAATTAATGTTTGTAGAACATAATTTATTGAACATACTTTAGAGAAATTCCAAGTCTGGATGAAGAGAGATTCAAAAAAAGGGTAGCACGGTGTGATATAACATCAAGAGAGGTTTATGTGTAATTCTTTGGGAGCTCAAAGGAGGGAACCACTGACAAGCATCCTTCCTTTTAGACATAAAATTATTATTTGGCCACACCATTTAATTCTGAAAGGAATGGCCTATGCCTCTACTAATCTCTGAAGAAAGCATTGCTTCTTGATTCTGAATTCTTTTTTTTTTTTTTAGATGGAATCTTGCTCTGTTGCCCAGGGTAGAGTACAGCTGGCGCAATCTCAGCTCACTGCAACCTCCGTCTCCTAGGTTCAAGCAATTCTCCTGCCTCAGCCTCCCGAGTAGCTGGGATTACCGGTGCCCATCACTGTGCCAGGCAAATTTTTATATTTTTAGTAGGGATGGGGCTTCACCATCTTGGCCAGGCTGGTCTTGAACTCTTGATCTCATGATCCACAGGCCTCAGCTTCCCAAAGTGCTGGGATTACAGGCTTGAGACATTGCAGTGGGCCTAAATTCTTTCTATTCAAATCGCCTACACTTTTGTAATTATTTAGCATCAGCATTTTTTTTTTTTTAAAGACAGTCTCGCTCTGTCACCCAGGCTGGAGTGCAGTGGTGTGATCTTGTCTCACTGCAACCTTCGCCTCCCGGGTTAAAGCAATTCTCCTGCCTCAGCCTCCAAAGTAGCTGGGATTACAGGCATGCACTATCATCCCTGGCTGATTTTTGTATTTTTAGTAGAGACAGGGTTTCATCATGTCAGCCAGCTGGTCTCAAATTCCTGGCCTCAAGTGATCTGCCTGTCTCAGCCTCCCAAAGTACTGGGATTATAGGTGTGAGTCACCATGCCCATCCATCATTGGCTTTTCCACTGGTATATTAGCTAATATACCAATTATACTATATTAGACCTGAGCAGATGTTCTGATAAATTTGCTCTGCAAAGCTGACATGAGTATGCCTAGTCTGAGCATTCTTTTCAGCAAATATGGAACAAAGTGATGGTTTTCCTAAGCTTTGTGTCACCATCTTATAAGGAGTGGAACTCTTCTGAAGTCCTGATAAAAAGATCAGTCCCTAGTGGTACATACAACTGAAAAGTAACCTCCAAAACATGTTATAACCAGGAAGCAATCATTCCTGAGATGACTGGACCCTAGACACCCGACAGAGCTAGAGGAGTAGGGCCACATGATCTGAAGATGTCCATGTGGCAGGTGACAGAAGGGTGTGCAGGTAAGTGGGCATCACTGTCAGGGAAGCTGGAGAGGGCCCAGCAAGGGGGCATGGGAAGAAAATGGAGAGGCCCCAGCAAGTGTGCACGATGCAGCATCAGTGTTACCTGTCTTCAATCAATCAGTGTTTGAAGATGTCTTCAATCAATTAGCCAGGCATGGTGGTGCATGCCTATCGTCCCAGCTACTTGGGAGGCTGAGGCAGGAGGATCGTTTGAGCCCAAGATGCAGAGGTTGCAATAAGGTACAAGGGCAAGCAGGTACACATCTGATGCCAGGAGATATGGCTTCTGTCAACAGATGGCTGGGATTCAGGTATATGCACTGGAGTTCTCTGGACGTTAGGTAGGATTTTCAGCAGAGATGGGGGCTAGAGATAGGAACTGGGTTTCTTGGTTTCTGGTACAGAAGTTCTAATACGGGGCTCAGTCTGCAGTTAATAAAGGAGCTATAGTTTTAAGTCAAAAAGGAAAAAAGGAGAGCAAGGCAGCAAGATTGGTTAATAATGTACTAAGTGCCAAGCACTTGGCTTTTTTATTATTTCGCCTATATGTCACACTAGCCCTAGGAAGCTATTACGACAAGGATGGTTAATCCCATTTGAGAGAAAAAGGGTCAAATTTCAAAACTTAGTATAAAGTTACAGTAATCAAGACAGTGTGGCCTGGCATAAAGATAGAACTATATCAATGGAATAAAATTGAAGGCCCAGAAATAAACCTTCACACACATGGTGAACTGATTTTTGACAAAGGTTCCAACAGCATTTAGTGGGCAAACAAACAGGCTCTTCAACAAACGGTATTAGGAAAACTGTATATCCACATGCAAAAGAATAAAGTTGAACCCCTACCTCATACCATATATAAAAATTAACTCAAAATGGATCAAAGACTCAAAGGAAAGGGCTAAAACTATAAAGCTTTTAGAAGGCAAAAAATGACATCAAAAGCACATGGAAGCAAAAAATAGAAAAATAGACAAGTTAGACTTTCTAAAATAAAAAAACTTTTGTGCATCAAAGCCACTATATCAGGAAATGAAAAGACAACCTACAGAATGGGAAAAACATGTTCAAACATGTTATTATATATATAATAAGGATTTAGAATCTATATTATATGGCTGGGTGCAGTGGCTCACACCTGTAATCCCAGCACTTTGGGAGGCTAAGGTGGGTGAATGACTTGAGTCCAGGAATTTGAGACCAGCCTGGGCAACATGACGAAATCCTGTCTCTACGAAAAATACAAAAATCAGCCAGGCATGGAGGTGCATGCCTATTGTCCCAGCTACTTGGGAGGCTGAGGCAGGAGGATCGTTTGAGCCCAAGATGCAGAGGTTGCAATAAGCCAAGATTGCACCATTGCAGTCCAGCAAGAGCCTGTCTCCAAAAAAAAAAAAAAAAAAAAAAAAAAAAAAAAAAAATCTACATTATAGAATAACCCTTCAAACTCAAAAATAAAAAGATTAAAAACCCAGTTAAAAAGTGGGCAAAGGGGGCTGGGCGCAGTGGCTCAGGCCTTCAGGCCTGTAATCCTAGCACTTTGGGAGGCCAAGGCAGGTAGATCACAAGGTCAGGAGTTCAAGACAGCCTGGCAAAGATGGTGAAACCCTAGCTCTACTAAAAATACAAAAAAGTTAGTTGGGCATGGTGGCAGGCGCCTGCAATCCCAGCTACTCGGGAGGCTGAGGCAAGAGAATCACTTGAACCCGGGGGATGGAGGTTGTAGTGAGCCGAGATCACGCCACTGCACTCCAGCCTGGGAACAGAGAGACCCCATCTCCCAAGAAAAAAGAAAAAAAAAAAAGTGAACAAAGGATATGAAAAAAACATTCCTCCAAAGAAGGTATATAAATGGCCAAGAAGCACATGAAAAGATGCCCAACACGATTAGTCTTTGGGTAAATGCAAATCAAAACCTACATACATACATAAAAAATAACAAGTGATGGTGAGGATATGGAACCCTTAAACATTGCTGGTGGAAATGTAAAATGACATAGCCATTATGAAAAACAATTTGGCAGTCCTCTAAAAGTTACACATAGAATTACTATATGACCTAGCAATTCCATCCCTAGGGATATATCCAAGAGAAATGAAAACGTGTGTTCACACAAACACGTGTACACAGATGTTCACAGCAGCATTATTCATAAGTCACGAAGTGGAAACAATCGAAACGTCCACCAACTGATGAACACGTAAACCAAATGTGGAACAGCCATACCACATATTGTTAAGTCACAAAAAGAGATAAACTAGTGTTACTTGCTACAACGTGGATGAACCTTGAAAACATCGTGCTATGTGAAAGAAGCCATACACAAGAGTCCACATACTGTAAAAATCCACTTATATAAATTAGCCAAAACAGGCAAATCTATAGTAACAAAGTATTATTAATAAGAGATCAGTGGTTGCCAGGGACTGAGGGAGAGGCAATCGGGACTAACTACTAGGTATGAGGCTTCTTTTGGAAGTCATGGAAATGCTCTGAAATTAAGTAGTGGTAATAGTTGTAAAATGTAGTGAGTACACTAAAATCCACAGAATTTTACACTTTGCACTGGTAAATTTTTATGTAAATTACATTTCAATTTTTTGAATTTACAAAATATTATGTATTATATTTAATTTCCGTTTGCTGTCTGTCTTACCTTTCTACAATGTAAGCTCCTTGAGCGCAGGAACTTTTGTTCTTATCTGTATCCCCAAAGCCTGGAATAGTGCCTGGCATTTTGTAGACACTCAATAAATATGTTATGTATATTTTACTGCAGTAAAAAAATAACTGGTTGAAAGGCTGGTTGAAATTGAGCTCAGAAGCATATCTGATAGCACTAAGAGCCCCGCTTTGCTACCCAGGCTCCTTTCTCTGCTCCTCAACAGGACTCATCTACGCTCAAAGGCTGTTTTGCCTACCCCTGCTTATGTGTGTTACTCGCTCACTTCCTCCAGTTCAAATTCTACACTTCCATTTAAGTCTCCTTTTCTTCCACAGAAGACTTCATGGCAGAGTTGTCCCCTCCCTCCTGTAGGCTCAAACAGACTCCTAGACATACCTGCTATGGCAGTGATCACCATGCAATGCAACTGTGCCTACTATCTACACACTTGAACTCCAAGAGAATAGTGATTGGGTCTAGTTCGTTTTTTTGGCGGGGGGAGACCCAAGGTCTTGCTCTGTCACCTAGAATGGAGTGCTGTCTACTTCATTTCTATTGCATAGTCCCTACACCATAGTAGTTGCTCACTACATATCTATTTAGGGTGACCTTCCCTCACTCCAGATGCCCAGAGCATTTAAGCATGCTGCGCGGGTGTCCCGATGAGGCACCTGCTCATATACTGCAGGAGGACTGCTTTCTGCTGCTGATGTCCCTACTGAGTCCCTATGATGCACTAAGCACTGCAGTAAGCTTTACAGAGAAAGATGCTCTGGACCTGGTCCCCACCGCTGAGCAGCTGGCAGTCTAGTAAAGGAAGCGGACATATAAACCTGTAACTGTTATAAAGTGTAGTACTCTGCTAGAGGCACGTATAAAATGCTATGGAAACAAAAAGGAAAGAGCAATTAATTTTGTCTGGAAGACAGGAAGGGAGATCAGGGATGTGTGTAAAAAAGAAATGATACCTGGAGCTGGCCTTAAAGGATGAGCAGAAGTTGACCAGGTGATCAGAGAAAGATGGCATTCTCAGTAAAGGGAAAAGAGCAGACGCTTAAAGAGAGGAAAATGCACAGTCTACCTGGTGAATGAGAAGTAGTCTGGAATGGATTATTAAGGGTTTATGTGGCCAGAGGAGGCTGCAAGGGAAGGCTGAGGCTTTTCGAGCGGGGCCTTCCATTTCCTGACTAGGGATATGGACTCTAACAGGCAGCACATGGTTTTTCAGTGAGAGAGTGACAAGAATAGATCTATGTTTCGGAGAAATTACTTCAAAACAAAACAAAACAGAAATGGCAGTGGCAGTGGAGTTATGGAAACTGATCAGCATCAAGTCAGGAGTCGGCTGCAACAGTCCAAGGAAGAGATGGGCAGGATCTGAGAAAAGCAAGAACAGAGGACAAAGAGGAAAGGACACTGCAAGCTCCTCAAAGGGGAGCTCCATTTTTCTAAGCAGTACTTGAAAAGTGTCTTGTCCATGCAGAGCAGCAGCCCTAGTGGGCTGATTACCCAGGAAGCCCTGGAAAGGTGGCACTGACCCCGGTGGCCTCGTGTGCTCTTCACCACGACCGGGTAGCCCAGGGGCTCAGCTTCATCAATCATTTTTGAGAAGTCTTCATGCCCACCTGCCAAGAAAAGGTAAAAGTCAGTGAAGGCAAGGCAGATGGTCACCCCAGCCCTGCCCCTCTGTAGGAATTCTTCTGAGGCCTCATCTCTCTCTCATAATTAAGGCCATTCAAACACATTTGATTCAACAGACTCACATTATGCACCTGCAAAGTAAAAGGTGGGAGCAGACAAGTAAAGAAACCAACATTTAGCAGGTACCTTCTATGTGGTAAAGGCCTCACATGCTCTAGTCCATATAATCCTTATATCATATAGGTAGACACCTTACCCTTTACAGTGGCTGTGGTAGGTGGAACCCCAAGATACCTGCTCCCTGGTGTACACACCTTGTATAATCCCCTCTTCTAAGTGTGGAAGGGACCAGTGACTATGTTGGATATCATTCCTGTTATTTTGAATTTAACAGAAAGGGAGATGACCCCTGGTGAGCCTGACCTAATCAGATGAGTCCCTTTAAAAAAAAAAAAAAAAGGTGAAACATCAGAGAGTCTCTTCTTCTGGCCTTGAAGGAGCAAACTGCCATGTTGTGGTGAAGACCATGTGGCAGGAAGCGGAGGGCAGCCTCTAGCGGAGAATGGCCCAACTGATGGCTAGCAAGGAAGTGGGGCACTTAATCCCGCAACAGCAAGGAACTGAGTGCCAACAGCCAGGCGGCTTGGAAAAAGATCCCAAACTTCAGGCGAGACCACAGCCCCAGCTGACAGCACGATTTCAGCTATGGAGACCTAAGCAGAGAACCCGGCTATGCTGTGGCTAGACTTCTGACCTACAGAAACTACAAGATAATCAATGGGTATAATTTGAAGCTTCTTAGTTTTTAGAAGTTTGTTATGCAGCAATAGAAAAGAAACCAAGCCTGGGAATTTGTCTCACCCAAAATGAAGGTATGACTCTGAAGCCTGAACTGGTTCTCCCATACTCCTATAAGCCTTATTTAAAAAAATATGAATAACGATGTGCATAAAAATAGTTCTAAATTGTTTTATGAACTGAGTTCCTGTATATACTTTATCAAATATAATCTTTTCTTTATAACTTAGGGTCAATGTCATGAACATTAATGGCTGCACTATGCGCCCTGAGGGACTACCTCTGCCCTCCATTTAATGGTACCAAACTCGTGCACTTTCTAGTTTGGGAACCTGGTTTCTTTAATGGTTTGTCACATTCCTTGCTGTCAGATGTCAACTAATATGTCTCACTGCTGTCACTATAGAGCAGAAAGAAGCCTCTTTTCCTGCTTCTCTTTGCTGTGGGGTTAGAAAGGAGAAAGCAACTTGTGAGATGATTTTTCCAGCACAGGGGAAACTAGGTTCCAGATGAGAGTCTGGTGGGCTTTCCCATTCATTAGTGAAAGAGGGAGGTTCAATGCTTGTTGGAATTCGTGACACATATCTGGGCTGCTTGGAGGTCCTTTTTTTCACTTTTTAGTTCTAAAAAAATGTGCTGGATAGATGTGTTTTGTAGGTACACTGGGGTGCTAGTTTTCTCTTGCTGCTGTAACACGTTACAACAACTTGGTGGTTCAAACAACACAAATCTATTGTCATACAGTTCTGTAGTCAGAAGTCCAACACAGGTCTCACTGGGCTAAAATTAAAATGTTAGCCAAGACTGGGTGTTGTGGCTCATGCCTGGAATCCCAGCATTTTGCGGGGGTTGAGGTGGGTGAATTGCCTGAGCTCAGGAGTTTGAGACCAGCCTGGGCAACATAGTGAAACCCCACCTCTACAAAAAAATACAAAAATTAGCTGGGTATGGTGGTGCATGCCTGTGGTCCCAGCTACTTGGGAGGCTAAGGTGAGAGGATCAGTTGAGCCCAGGAGGTCAAGGCTGCAGTGAGCCACAATTGTGCCACTGCAGTACACTCTGGACAACGGAGAAGAACCCTGTTTCAAAAAATAAAGTTAGGCTCTAGAGGAAAACCTATTTCCTTGCATTTTCCAAGTTCTAAGGCTCCCCGCTTTCCTTGGCTCCTGGCCCTCTTCCATCTCCAAAGCCAGCAATAGCAGGTAGGGTCCTCAAATGTCATCACTCTGATCTTCCCCCTCGGTCACATCTCCCTCTGACTCTTTTCTGCTTTCCTCTTTCACTTTTAAGGACACATACAACATTGGGCCTTCCTGGATAATTTAGAATAATCTCCCTATCTTTTTTTTTTTTTTGAGACGGAGTTTCGCTCTTGTTGCTCAGGCTGGAGTGCAATGGCGCGATCTCGGCTCACCGCAACCTCCGCCTCCTGGGCTCAGGCAATTCTCCTGCCTCAGCCTCCTAAGTAGCTGGGATTACAGGCACGTGCCACCACGCCCAGCTAGTTTTTTGTATTTTTTTAGTAGAGACGGGGTTTCACCATGTTGACCAGAATGGTCTCGATCTCTCGACCTCGTGATCCACCCGCCTCGGCCTCCCAAAGTGCTGGGATTACAGGCTTGAGCCACCGCGCCTGGCCAGAATAATCTCCCTATCTTAAGGTCATCTGCTTAGCGATCAACTCCACCTGCTGCCTTAATTCCCTTTTGCCACATAACCTCATATAATCACAGGTTCCAGAGATTAGGACATGGGTATCTCAGGGTAGGGGAGTGGCATTATTCTGCCTATCACAGGCAAAGCAAAATACTCTAGAACACTAACAAGACCTGTCTAGTTCACAAGAGTGCTAATGATTTAAAAAATAATAATAATAAAGGACAATGAGGCAGTGAAAGTAATTAGGGGCATCTTCATGAAGAGGATGTTTTGTAAGAAGTGAACTCCCAACTTCCAACCATCCCACTTATAAGCTTACGTTCTCTCTAGCCATCCTTTCTTCCCTTCTTTACGATACAGTAAGAGAAGTCCTCCTAATCCATCCCTGCCCCACTGTGCTTTAGACCCCCTTTCTCACCTCCCCAGGGATCCTGCACCCTCTCTGCTATATATTCAACCTCACAATTCCTAATTTCACAGGCATTCTAAACATGCTCAGTTCTCTTCCATCTTAAGCAAATAGAGTCCCTGTTCTTTGAACCTGCATCATCCCTTAACTATAACTTTGTATCCCTAATATCGAGTCACTGAGTGTTATAGACCATTTCCTCACTTCCCATTTATTTCTTCACCCCTCTCTCCAGCACTAAACTGAAACTGTATTCATTCAGCTCCCTGTTGCTGAACCCAACACACACACATTATGTTGCCCTTTTGGAATCATGCAACACTTTTGATGACACCATACTTATACTCTCTCCACTGGCTTCTGTGACCTCTCTTCTTTCTCTTCTCACCTCTCAAGTAGTTGCCCTCCCTCTCTCCCTCCTTCCTTCCTTCCTTTTCTTTTCTTTCTTTCTTTTTTTTTTTTTTTCTTTAAAGGCATGGAGTCTCATTCTGTCACCCAGGCTGGAGTGCAATGGCATTATCATACTTCAAAGCAGCTTTGAACTCCTCAGCTCAAATGACTAGTTTCTTTTATAGATTCCTCTTCCTGTACCCATTCCCTAAAGCAGGAGTCCCCAACCCTAGTACCAGACCATGGTCTGTTAAGAACCAGGAAGCATATCAGGTGAGCAGTGGGTGAGCAAGCATTACTGCCTGAGTACCACCTCCTGTCAGATCAGTGATGGCCTGAGATTCTCACAGGAGCTCAAACCCTATTATGAACTGCGCCCTCCTTATGACAATCTAACTAATGTGTGATGATCTGAGGAGGAACAGTTTCATCCTCCCAATCTGTGGAAAAACTGTCTTCCGTGAAACTGGTCCCTGGTGCCAAAAAGCCTGGGGACCACTGCCCTAAAGGATTCCCTCTTTTAAAAAAAATTTTGTGTTAAAATATACATAAAAGTTACCATTTTAACCATTTTAGGTGAACAGATCAGCTCCCTTTTCTTCCTACACAATCTCCCTGAGTACTCTCATCCATTCCTGGGACGTTACCTCACATAATGAAGGTTTCCAACTACACTTCCCTAGTCTGCGCTTCTTTCAGAAGCTTTGATTTATCTGCTGCCTACTAAATATTTTTACTTGCATGCGCTACAGACACCTCGAACAGATCCATGTCTCAAACTGAAATAATCTCTCCCCTACAATCCTTCACCCCCTACCCATCAATCATCTTCTCTCCTCCCACATTTCTAGTCTTAGTGAATGTCTGCTTTCATATCTCGTTGCTCAAATCAGAAACCAGTCACTCTTGATTCCTCTCCATACTCTCATATAAAGCAATCATCATGTCCTATTATTTCTACAACCTTCACAATTCCTGAATCTGTTCACACATCTTCATTCTCACTGTTTAGACCATCATTGCTCACTGGGATTATTTTAAAGACCTACCAGTACTTGTCCTGGCTCTGTCCTGCCCCTGTCCAATTCGTTCTCCACAGTGTAGCCAAAGTGATATTCTGAACTATATAACTCTGATCAGGCCACCTCCCTGATTAAAGCCCTCCCTGTTAACTTCCTGTTAACTCTCAGGATTAATCCTAATCTTCACATGCTGTATATAGTGCCCTCTTATCTTCCCAGCCTTATATTTCAACTGTAACTCTCTTAACATTCTACAAACTACTCAGAATACCACCAACAGGTCAGGGTGTCTCTCCCCTCTGAGTCTTTCTATATTCTTCTCTCTCTTTACATTAAACCCCTCCCACAATTTCCCTTCACTTAGCTAGGTAACATCAGCTTAGCTCTATGTTAGCTCTTTTAGGAAGCCTTCCTCAATGTCTAAACTGCCTTGAGCGCTCTCCTATATATTCCTGAACTGCTCTGCACTGGCCTTTATCATGGCACTTTTTACACTGCTGTGAAATTGCCAGTTAACTTGTCCTTTGCCTCTGATGGACTGGCAATGCCTTGAGGGCAGGACTCTCTTGCTTACTGCCGTAGCCCAGTGCCCAGCATGGTGCCTGGTGCACAGTGTGGAATGACTTACAGAGGGGAAGATGCCAAGGCATTTTCAGATAGAAAGGCCAGGATAAAGATTTCAGATAGAAAGGCCAACAGGTTGAATCAACAGGCTCACATTCAAAAACAACAAAGATCCTAGAAGGTTTCTAGGGAAAGAAAACAGAGATGCACATGATTTGGGAAAATATGTTCCAAGTGTATTTCAAGCTGACTCACCATAGGAGAAGGTGTCTGGCATGGGGACTCCATGTCCAGCCAGTTCTTGGAACGTCCAGAATTTGTTGATGCAATTTAAGATGCTCTGTGGACGATTGACCAACCGGCAGCCCAGCTTCTCCAGGTGTCGCAGGACAGTGATGTCACTGTCTGACTGTACTGAGGGTGTGGGTACCCGCACAAGTACGACATCTGGGAAGGTGGTGAGGGCCTTCTGGTTTAGCTGGAGGCCTGCAATTCAAGGACAACAGTGAGTGCTGTGCCTGCTATCATTCAGTCCACCAGAAGAAATGGTTCCAACAAACTCTTCAAGACCGAACCTAGCAGGAACAGGGCCTCAAAAATGGCCCCCTGGACATCCTGATGTAACAAGGAAACTCTATACGCAACCCTATACGCCAAACAAATGTGCAGAACATGATCATGAGGAAACACAAAGGAATGAGCAGAAAGAAAGCAGCATAACCAGAATAATCTAAGTTAAAAGAATTCACTGGAGATACATCGTCACCTTCCTTCCCATAGGACAAATATGACTCAAAGTGTAGTGGCTTGGGAGGCTGAAGGCGTAATGAAAAGGAAACAGTTTAGCCCACTTCAGGAATCCCTACCACTCTTGGCACATTATACAGCCTTTTCTCTTTGTTTTGGACAGGGTCTTACTCTGTCACCCAGGCCAGTGCAGTGGCATTCTCTTGGCTCACAGCGACCTCTGCTTCCCAGGCTCAAGTAATTCTCCTATTTCGGACTCCTGAGTAGCTGGAACTACAGGCATGCACCACCACACCTGGCTCTAATTATTGTGTGTTTTTGTAGAGATGGGGTTTTGCCATGTTGCCCAGGCTGATCTCACACTCCTGAGCTCAAGCAGTCCACTTACCTTGGCCTTCCAAAGTGTCAGGATTACAGGCATGAGCCACTGAGCCCAGCTATGCAGTCATTTCAATGATTTTATCAATATAATGAATGCACAAATGTCAATGTTAAGTGAAAAAACAGGATACAAAACTATAAGTAATGCATTATGATCTCAACTATCTAAACAGATACAAGTTGGGAGCAGCTAGAAGGAAATATGCCAACATTTTAACAGTGGGTAATGGAATTACAGGTAATTTCTTCCTTACATTTTATACTTACCTTTATTTTCCAAAATTTCTCTAAGTATTTACTACCTTTATTACAAAAAAACTTTCTGAAAAATCAATCTACTAAAAATCAATTCAATTAAATATCAAAAACTAGAATGCATCCAAAAGACAACCAATCCACTTCGCGAGAGGACATGATGCTGTATTCTACTGGGTTACATGGGAATATTCGCTTGACGTGAAGACTCAGAAGAACCAGAGCACAGTCTTTAAGTTTCTGAAGGGCTTCAGTGCAGAAAAATTATTTGGCTTGTCTTCTATAACTCCAGGAGATAGAGTTCCATAAGAGCTTTATTTTGTCTGTCTGTTCACTGATGTATCCTCAGCGCCTAGAATAGGGCCTGCTGCATGGCAGGCACTCAGTGTTTGTTGAATTGAGTAGAAGCTATAGGGAGATAGATTTGGGCTCAAGAAAATGGATACTTTTCCATTCCCTTAGGACGTAAGGGCCAAGGTTCATTTATCACTTAAGGATGATAAAAGGGAGAATGCAAGGGTAAGAGGGGTTCACAGCAGCTTGCTTGGTCCCTCCCAGTCCTGACATCCTATGGCTTGTATTACTCTAAGTCATTACCTAGGTCTCTATGGTGCACCCAGAATCTGGTGATGGAATGATTCAGACAGGATATGGGATGAGTAGGGCAATTGAGAAGTTAGTTCAAGGAATTACTTGGTCTGCCCTAATGAACCTTAAAGGAGTCTCTAAAATGCTCTAAATAATTTATTATTTTATTTTTTAGAGACAGGATTTTGCTATCACCCAGGCTAGAGTATAGTGGTGTGATCACAGCTCACCATAACCTCTAACTCCTAGGCTCAAGTGATCCTCCCACCTCAGCCTTCCAAGTAGCTGGGACTACAAGTGTACACCACCACGCCTGGCCAATTAAAAAAAAAATTTGTGGAGATGCAGTCTTGCCCAGGCTGATCTTGAATTCCTGGTCTCAAGTGATCCTCCTGTTTTGGCGTCCCAAAGTGCTGGAATTACAGGCATAAGCCATTATGCCCAGGAAAGAAAATATTTAAAACACAATTTACAGAGCCACCTTATAGGCTTTAACCTAAAGCACCTTCTATTTCACAAGTAATATACTGTATAACCACATAATTCTAGGGGGGGAAAAGGGTGCTAATGAAGTTACAATTTCACCAAGTGATGAATAATACCAATACAAAAACTCTAGGCACAAAGATGAAAAACAGAACACCCACAAAACTACTATATGGCTCTGAGTTGCACAGTTTCCCCCAATCTAGGAGATATTTTACTGGTTTAAAAGGGGAGGGGTAGGTACAATCATTACAATAAACTGTTTTTGGTACTTCCACTGATCGTGTGAATCCAAGGAACTGGAAGTAATTCTCAGGGACGATTTATAAAGAGCATTCAGGTTATCTTCACTTTGCCATCAGAAAACAGTATCACTTATAGATGCTTTTACTGTTCTTTGAAAAATTCCTTTGCCACTTCTAACCCGTGGGGGAAATAATACGAAAGGTAAAAGTAAACCAGCCATGTGTAGTAGCCTCAAAAGTGGTTGGAGAACAAAGAAAAATATTCAAGTTGCTTAGGATAGAACACCCAGGACAACATTACACAGTGAGATAATATACGTGGAAATGCTTTGAAAACTATAAAATGCTCTACATATGTAAGGCACTGCCATTACTACTATGCAGACATTCTACTAAGCAAAGTAAGACAGTTTATGGAGATTTTTTACCACCTCACAAGAAAAATGGCTTTACAACAGAAATGTGACCTAGAGAAACGAGAAGCAGCAAAAACGTCTGGCTTTCAAATCCCAACATGAGACCACAGACAAACAGTTAAACTTCTAAATGGGAAGAAAAGAATTCAATCATTTCTGGAAATACCAACCACAAGTGGACAGAGACAACTCAGCCCAACGAGCAGATTCACATAGACCTAGGAAGTCTTACCAGGACTTCATCTCTCTTCTCCAAAGGTAAATCTTTGGGCCTGGCTCATTCCAATTGAAGCCTTTAATAAATGAAGAATGGAATGGGTTAAAGTGTAGCCCAAAAGGTTCTACTAAGCAGTTAGACAGGTCAGGTGCATGCTGGCTGTCCAGCCCTGTGCAGAGGGAGACATGACAGGTTTAGGGATGCAGATGCAAAACTAATTACGATCTCTGCCCATTAACGTAGCTTTTTTTTTTTTTTTTTTTTTTTTTTTTGAGACGGAGTTTTACTCATCACTCAGCCTGGAGTGCAATGGTGCATTCTCAGCTTACTGCAGCCTTCGCCTCTTGGGTTCAAGTGATTTTCCTACCTAGCTTCCCAAGTAGCTGGGATTACAGGCACCTGCCACCACTCCTGGCGGTTTTTTTTTTTTTTTTTTTTTTTTTTTTGTATTTTTAGTAGAGATGGTGCTTCACCTCTACTACAGATGTTGACCAGGCTGGTCTCGAACTCCTGACCTCAGGTGATCCGCCCACCTCCCAAAGTGCTAGCATTACAGGTATGAGTCACTATTATGTTTAGGCTCTAGCTCTGACATTCTTGCCACGGGCAACTTCACTTGCCCCTTGCTCTTTCCCATTGCCACGGCCATCATTTTTCTAGAAGTAGTAGACGAGAAGCAGCTGCTCATAGTGGCTTCAGTAGGAGCAACATTTCTGCACAGCCATCGACAAGGACAACTTGGGTTTAAGGCTGGCACTTGGCAAACTTGTCTGTAAATTTTGAGACCTTTAACCACTTAAGTAATCTCCTCTCGGGAAAGGACCTGATAAACTTAATACAGGAGAAGCTTAATGTATCACCTTTCCTAGGATCCTTAACATTTCTGCAATCTACAGACCTCAAGTCAAGGGAATTAAGAGCTGATGCAGGATATCAGGAAGAACAGGGTTCTGCTTGGCTGCCAGTCAACAGACCCTCAACAATGAGGCTCATGCCCTCCAAGAAGAGATTTCATGTGAATGAGTACCCTAGTGCTCTTGGGGATCACCTTAACTTGGGGAGAGGGAGAGGCAGCTGAGTCATTTCTGGAATATTTGAGGGTCTCCCACACTCATGGGTTGGACTTAAGATTTATTATGTTTAGCCTCAAACCACTTAAAAAAAAAAAAAAAAACTAAACTAAACTAAAATGACCATTCTATTCCCAAACAGGTCATCAGACCTCAAACAAGTTAGGACAGTGACCAATTGCCAACCCATTCAACACCAACTTTTTAAAACCAAAACAATATTTTCTCTATATTCTAAAGAGAATAATCTACTTTTTTTGGGTAACTGTGTTCTGATTTCTTTTTTATTTCTCTATTTATATTTGGAAATATTTTAATGTATTAAAAACAGAGAAAACCGAGATAACTTTTCCTGAAGAACACAGTCCATTTTTTCTAACCCATACATTGGGTTAAATTCTACATAACTAGGCTGGGTGCGGTGGCTCTCACCTGTAATCCCAGCACTATGGAAGGCCAAGGCAGACGGATTACCTGAGGTCAGGAGCTGAGAACAGCCTGGTCAACATGGTGAAATCCCGTCTCTACTAAAAATATAAAAATTGCCAGGCGCGGTGGCTCAAGCCTGTAATCCCAGCACTTTGGGAGGCCGAGGCGGGTGGATCACGAGGTCGAGAGATCGAGACCATCCTGGTCAACTTGGTGAAACCCCGTCTCTACTAAAAATACAAAAAATTAGCTGGGCATGGTGGCTCGTGCCTGTAATCCCAGCTACTCAGGAGGCTGAGGCAGGAGAATTGCCTGAACCCAGGAGGTGGAGGATGTGGTGAGCCGAGATCGTGCCATTGCACTCCAGCCTGGGTAACAAGAGCGAAACTCCGTCTCAAAAAAAAAAAAAATATATATATATATATATATATATATATATATATATATATATATATAAATTAGCCGACTGTGGTGGTGCACACCTGTAATCCCAGCTACTCAGGAGGCTGAGGCAAGGAGAATTGCTTGAACACGGGAGGTGGATGTTGCAGTGAGCCGAGATCACATCATTGTACTTCAGCCTGGGCAACAAGAGCGAAACTCTGTCTCAAAAAAAAAACAAAAAAACAAAAAAACACTACATAACCAGACT